TTAGTCATGCCGGCCACGTGACCACGGAAATGTCTTCAGACAGCGCTGGCTCTTCGGCTTTGAAACGGAGATGAGCACCGCAACCCTAGAGTCGGATTCGACTGGCTTTCGAGCAAGGGAACCCTTTACCTTTACCTTTATTTTAATACTGCGAGCCCCTTAATGCTATTGTTGTAATGTTAAGAATGTTTTATATTATTTTAATGTTTTATGGTTTTACGCTAATTCGGCACACTCTGCCGTCTTCTGTAAGCCGCCCAGAGCCTGTTTACAGGGTGGGCGGGGTATAAATATAAGTATAAATAAAATAAATAAATACAGTGTCTCCAAATGTGAGCTATCTGCCACACAGGCAATAGGGTAGCACTGTACAAAATAAGTCATAAAATTCCTTTGACAAATTATTAGGGACTGTGGTCTGTACTACTGTGTCTAGTTTGCTGCTATGTAATTTTGCATCATTGAATGTGTAATCTTAACACGCAAAACGGAGCATAAGGAGGGAGCTCCTCTGATTCCGGGCCTCCATAGATACATACTCGTATCCCGTATACGCCTCGAAGAGCTTTGCACCCTAGTAATCAACCTCTCCTGGTGGTCCCTGGCCCAAAAGATGTCCGTCTAGCCTCGACCAGGGCCTTTTCTGCCCTGGCCCCCACCTGGTGGAACATGCTCCCCATTGAGATCAGGGCCGTGCAGGATCTTGCTCAGTTTTGCAGGGCTGTTCCGCCAGGCTTTTGGTTGAGGCAGCGGGCGTCCACATATGGCCTCCCCGAGGTTCCTGTCTCCTACCTACTGGCCATATCCATCAGTATTAATGGGTCATAATTTTCACCAGCAGCTATATAACGACTGATTTTAAATGTTTATAATGTAATGTTTTATTGTGGTTTAAACCTTACTGTATTATTTAAGATTATGTGACCCGCCCTGAGCCTGCTCATGGGATGGGCGGGATACAAATACAATAAATAAATCAGTACTTCCTGAGCCATTGGTGTATGCTGCTAACGGCCAGCTAACATGTCGGTTGTCGCTGTTTGAAATCTGAGGTCTATAAAGGCTTCTCTGAGTTTGTGGAAGGTGAGGCTGGACAAATCGGAAGCTCTGGGGTGTTAATGTTCTTCCTATTAATGTGGTTTAGTAGGCTGCAATTTTCCTATATCTCTTTGCAAACCAAAAGTGTTATAACAGTTACTAGCCACTGCAAGTAAGTCAGACAGAGCTGCCCTGGAGAAAGGTGTGTTCGGTTCTAAGGTATTTATTTATATTTATTTATTTTTCATATTTGTATCCCGCCCTCCCCAATGGGCTCAGGGCGGCTAACAAGGGCAAGGTCATTTGCCATGCCATAGGTAAAAACATATAAAACATAGTAAAACATCCAACACTAAAACCACAGTACTCAATCCATTACTAATATCCTAAATCCTAGATGGTAACACCGCAGTTCCAGATGGTCCTCCCATAGTATACGTGTCCAATGGCGACGGCTTGTCAGATCTTCAATAGTTTCCAGGTTCTTCCTCGGGCCTCGTCAATGCATTTTTAAGATACTTTGACGGTGGTGGTATAATGGGGCAGCGGCTCCTACTCAAAGGCCTGGCGGAAGAGCTCCGTCTTACAGGCCCTGCGGAACTGCTCAAGGTCCCGCAGGGTCCGGATCTCCCCCGGGAGCTCGTTCCACCAGGTAGGAGCCACCACCGAAAAAGCCCTGGCCCTGGTCACAGCTAGTTTCGCATCCTTGGGACCCGGGATGACCAACAAATTTTGGGTCCCCGACCGTAGTGCTCGCAGATTATTCTTCAGAGTAGAAATGTGCTCTTCCCTCTTCCGCGGAGGGGGTGGAGAGGTAATGTGTGTGGGAAGGCTGCGTGAAAACGGGAATGAGTGAGTTGCTCTTTAAAGGCGCATGTGTTCCTAGATCCATTCATCAGTTGCTTTTACAAATGAGGGGGCTGAAGAACTTCTGAAGAATGATAACAAATATTCAACCCCTTTGGCTTCCTGCAAGTATAGTTTTGTGAGAAGAAATGCCAAAGATATGTTCAGTAGAGTCATGGTGAAAGTTTTGCCCGGACCTGGATGGCCCAGGCTAGCCTGATCTTGTCTGATCTCAGTAGCTAAGCAGGGGGGTTAGCCCTGGTCATCATTTGGATGGGAGACCACCAAGGAATACTAGAGGCAGGCAACGACAAACCACCTTTGAACGTCTCTTGCCTTGAAAACCCTACAGGGTTGCCATGAGTGGACTTCGACTTGGCCCAAAAGAAGGGTTGCATTAGACTGCTTGTCTGGTGCGTGTTCTGAAATCCATTGTTATCAGTCGTCTATTACTGGAGCTTGGTGACGAGTAGGTCTAATCCCAAATATGCTGTGCATTCTGCAATCCTCAGAAGATGCCATGAGGGAGTAGGCAGAGTTCTGCAATCAAACAGCTTCCAGAATTTCCTTACTGTCCAATTTCAAGCTCATCTTTGCAGGTACATCTGCTTGGGGGGAAAAAT